GATTTGAAGACTGTTTGTGTGGAAGAATGGGCCAAAATCACACCTGAGCAATGTATGCCTCTAGTTTCTCCATACGCTGTCATTGACAACAAAGGCTTTTGTACAAAGTATTAGATAAATTTCAGTAAATGTGTTCAATACTTTTTCCCTGTGCCATTCCACTTTATTACAAATAACTTCATTTCTGGACATTTATGGTTTGATTTCTTTGTATGTATGGATGACTTGGGTTGTTACCGACATCTGGTGAACATTTCATATCATTAGCACCTCTAGTAATATATTTACTGAGAAAAATGTTGACGTGTTCAATACTTGTTTTACCCGCTGTATAATAAAAAAAAATTGGGCCCAAAACATAACCTTGGGGTACCCCACAAGACAGAGATGCAACTTTAGAGTAAATAAGAAATGAACCAATTTAACCAGTTAGAACAAATAACCCAGTTTATTTGTTTTGGTTGTTTAAAATCTTTAAAGATTCATCAACGTGCTTTTATTTACAAGTGTAAATACAGACAACAGGGATCAGTGACTCATCAGGACGTCTTCATCAATATTCAACGAGCTCCTGACCTTCTGAATTGATCTAAAACTTAAAAGTGGACACAGGAGACTTGCAACATCAAAAGGTTAAAGATAGTTTGTATCTAATTTGTTTTGCATTAAACACRTTGTTTTTAAAACTCTGATAATAAAAATTATCATCTTTTCTCATATTGCTTTACATGAAGTTATACTCTGAGATTTACTGTTTCCTTCGGGTAACATTTGCTGACAAACGTTGTCGACGGACCAAAGGGGAGCCAGGAAGGAGATTATTCCCACATAATAAAAGCCTTTTGTAAGCAGCCTCGCTGATCTGTCTGATGCTGCAGCTGTAATTATATTTCTGATCTGAGAAGTGCAGAGCTGCTGGGAAAACAGCTAATCAGAGGGCTGCTAGGTGGCATTTGGCTTTACGCGCTGATTGTGTCAGAGGAACAGCGTGAGACCAGCGCAAGCTATTAATGCTAATTACTTTTTRCAGCCATCAAAGCCAGGCGGCAGGTAATTAATGTGCACATGTAGCAGCGATGTTACGAGGATGTAAAAAAAGACGTTAAATTTGACCTTTTTAATTCTGATGAGCTGCTTTAAAGATTTGAAATTAAACGTATCTGTTATGTGATATTTTCACGTTAGCGTAATGGTGACTCTTAATACGGTCATGATTGAATGCTTGAATAAAAGATGTTAAATATAGAATTACATCAAGAAATAAAAGGGAACTTTTGAACAGAGACATTAAGAGACAATATCATTGTTTTAATTGTCATTTTTTACATTTTTAACTCAACTCTTGAACTCCTTATGACATAAAATAAAACCATTTCATCCACATTTATTGTAATTAACGTTTAAAATGCAGATTAAAACATTATTTTGCAAGTTTCTTATTTTTCTATAAGTCCGCTACTCATCTGGTCTTCCTCTACTTCCTCTGCTCCTAAGAAAAGGTGGGAATCACCATGGCAACCCATGACTCAGCAGGATTTTGCCTGCAGATAATAAAGTTGGCAGATGATTTTCAAAATAAAAGCCTGACTTCGCTTYATCTTTATCCTGCAGAATTTAAACACTCCTGCCGTGACCTGAATGATTGCATCCACAAAAGCAGGAAATGGTTTTACCCTGGAGTTTTAAAGTAAAATTTGAGCACACTTTTCAAAATAAAAGTCTGTCTCTGTCATTAATCACAAACAAATTTCAAGCACTTAGTATTTCTCACAAATGTTCCGGTTCATGTTTTTCTGATTCGGCCCCTTCGGCTCTGATGATTGAGAAATCATAAAATAGAATAAAAGTACGATTTCACAGCGCAAGGTGCCCTTGAGCAAGGSGCTGAATCAGTTTCTTAGACTGTGTTCGATCCTCTTGGACACCTCCAGAGAAGCTTCCTGTAAATTGGACCAAACGACACAGGGTGTCGAACAGAACCTCGTTTKTTGTGATTTATAAACGTGGTTTATAAAAGCCTCAGTCGCTGTAAGGACGGATATTTTTACCACTGCCTGTTAGAGAGCAGCATCTGTCACAGCAGCCTGTTAACGGCACTGCAGATGGACTAAAGCAGAGTCAGCCCCCCTGGCAGCAGCAGCAGCATCAGCATCCTCCCCCTCCTCACACACACACCATGGATCCAACCCTCTCATCTCACACTCTCTCCTCCTAACCATCAGCCCCTGCATTTAGTCGTGATCCAACGACAGAAAAAAAAGAAAGAAATCAAGATTTCAGCGTTCCCCTCAGAAGCAGCATCTCCTCCTCCAGCTGCGGGATGAAGCTGCTGTTTTTCTCAGCGGCACTGCGGGGAGAAGCCATGAATCCCTGGCTGCTGCTCGCGCTGCTCGGTCTCTGGTGAGTGCGCGGCTCTGATTCCTCCGTCATGTTGTGAACAAGGCAGGTTTTGTCAGGGTGTTGGACTGCGGAGGGGAAAATCAGAGCTTATCTGATGCTTCCAACAAACCTGGGCTTTAAAAATGTGTTGTAGAGGATTTAAAGGGCTGGTTTTAATCACCTCTGGGTGTGAACTGATGTGAATTCTGCCCTGTTCGTATGAAAAACATGCTTCTTATTTGCAGACGGTGCATGAGTTACATTCAGTCAAACTCAGACTGCAACTTGGAAAACAAAGGAGTTCTAAAAACGCAAGGAATCAAGATTCATGTCAGGAGCTTCAGCTAATGTTCATATAAAACATGGGATTTGTGGTAAAATGTGAACAGAAACCGGGTTGGTGCAACATACGTGGAAATACCCTGTAGTGGTGCATAAAGAGAAAACTTTATTTCAGAGAAACAGCAGCTTTAAACAAACAAATTTAGCAGTTTGGAACCAAGAGGACCAAATAAGGTTAAAACATCTGAAAATCGCCTCAAAGCTGCTTAGATTGTCTGGGTTTCTGCTTCAGACATTTGTTTTATGGTGTGTTGTGAGTTTACTTTTTAAAAACTTTCTGTGTGAAACTATGACACCAATCAGTGCTCAGCAAAAGAGATTTTCCTTCGTCATTTTCTCTGTWTCCGTCCAGGTTCGGGTTTACTAGATGTTCTCAGGATGCAGCTGCAGGTTTCACATCAGTGCTACGTTGTTTCCATGGCCTGATAATAATCATGGTCTGAAACCAGTGTGATCAGTCCAGTTTTAAATGATCAGGGTGCTGGTGGAGGCTTCACAACATCAATGCACTGCTGCTGCTGCTGCCATGTTCTCCAGTGATCACACTGATGTGTAATGAGGACCCCAGGCCTTGTGAAGACCCTACAAAGACCATCCATGTTTTGGGAAATTGTTTTAGCTTGTTGAGGGCRAGGACAGTAACATGGACAGTCAGGCTTCAATTCAATTCAGTTTATTTAAATAGCGCCAAGTCACAACAACTGTTGTCTCAGGGCACTGTAAAGGAAAAAACAATAAATCTAAAGAAGCCAGCAGATTGCGCCGAATCTTCGTTTTGTCAAAGTCTCCCATCCTGAGCAGCACACCTGCAGCAGCGGAGAGGAAAAACTCCCTGCTAATCAGGAAGAAACCTCCAGCAGAACCAGGCTCAGGACAGRCRRCCATCTGCCTCGACCGGCTGTGTTTGGGGACAGGAAAGAGACACAGAAGAACTGGTCCAGGTGTATTTTCCTCTGAAAGAGAGACAAAGAAAACATGTTATTGACAGAAGTAATTATAACAAAAATGTAAAGAAGAGAGACCAAAGACAACAAGAAATGTGCTCAGTTTGTGCTCCAGCAGTCTAATGGCCTCGACACACGGGGAGCGACAAACTACAGCGATTTAACGGCTGTCATCGCAGCCAGGGTGAAACCCGACACACGGGACGCGATAGTGATCGCAGCGTTGCGAATCGCGCTCTCAGGTCGCTTGTCTTCACAAAATTTGATTGGTTCTTGACTCTGAAGGCGGGTGTGCATTACGGACGTGTAAACTAAACAAATCTTGYGATGCTAATGATATTGAAAAACAAACACACATCAAGATACAGTTTTATGAGGAAAAACTTACCATAAACTTCACCCTGGTGCCAATAAATTCCCACAAAGCTTTGTAGTAATCACTTGGTGAAAGTGTTAGCTAACTGCAGTGTGTAGCATACTCTCCTCTCATTGGTCAGTCAATGAAACCCTCGCTGATTGGTTGTACGCTAAGCGACAGCGACAAAAGTTGAACATTTTTCAACTTTCATATGTCGCGTCGCATGCTCGCGTGTGCACGTGTACATGTATTAGCGCAAAATTTCACATGCACTATTTTCGCCGGTCGCTTAGCTGGAGGAGGGCAAGCGATTGTCGCCTCACCGCACAGGCTCCATAGGAAATGAATGGAGAGCGAGCGACATCGCCTCCCGTGTGTCGAGCTCTTAAGTYTATAGCAGCAGAAATGAAGAATAATTCAGGAAACCTAAGTTTAACTATAGGATTTATCAAAAAGGAAAGTCTTCAGTCTAATCTTAAAAGTAGACAGAGTGTCAGCCTCACGGACAGAAAATGGAAGTTGGTTCCACAAGAGAGGAGCTTGATAACTGAAAGCTCTGCCTCCCATTCTACTTTTAGAAACTCCAGGAACCACAAGTAAACCTGCAGTCTGAGAGTGAAGTGCTCTGTTAGGAAAGTATGGAACAATAAGATGTTTAATATATGATGGAGCTTGGTTGTTAACAGCTTTGTATGTTAGGAGTAATATTTTAAATTCTATTCTGAATTTGACAGGGAGCCAGTGGAGTGAAGCTAAAACTGGAGAAATATGATCTCTCCTTCCAACTCTCATTAAAACTCTAGCAGCAGCATTTTGGATTAACTGAAGACTTCTTAAAGAGKTTTTTGGAGCCCAGGTAATAAAGAATTACAGTAATMCAGTCTAGAYGTGAKAAATGCATGRATCAGTTTTTCTGCATCATTTTTGGAMAAAAYGTTTCTAATTTTAGTGATATTACGCAGGTGGAAGAAGGCGGTCCTGGTAACATTTTTAATGTGGGGGTTAAAAGACATGTCCTGATCAAATATAACACCTAGGTTCTTTGCACTCAGTTTATTTCTTCGTCACAAATCTTGAGTCTCCAAGCAGAGACTTGTGTTATCAAGTGAACAAAAAAACAATCAATAAAAAGGTTATGTTTCTCAGAAACACTGTGGCTGCAGCTGAGAACAGGACTGTCAGGCTAACCTGATGTTGCTGCAGCTGACTGAAGGACGAATCTCTGATGAAACTCAGGAATAGTCAGATAAAAATGACAGGCTGCAGTGGTTTGAGCAGATTCATGAAGCTGTCACTGTGCCTGAGCTGCTGGCAGAGACCGCTCTGTTGATTTAGGCTCCGGGATCAGAAGATACGACCTGTAATAACAGACAGAGCTGATGTGGAATCAGTGCTTCGTCAATAAAAGTCTCCCGGGTCTCAGAACCCAAGCAGCGCTGCAGGCGGTGGTCCTGTGGGCCGCGGTGCGCCTCACTTCTTCTGATGGACAAAAAAACTAATGTCTGCTGCTTGTCTCTCATTAAACTTTGGTTTAAAACTGATCTGATTGAATCAGACTGTGAGTAAATAATGAGTCCGAGGATTGTTTTTGTTTGTTTGGGAGGTAGTAAAACAGATTAAAAGAAAAAAAATTCACAGCTGTAGGAGTTTAATCTTCTTTGTGACTTCAGACGTTTCCTGGTTTATGACTCAGGTTTAGTTTAGTTCAGGGATGGACAACTTCAATATTGGAAAGACACATTTGTTTGTTGACACTATAGAGCCATAGTGCTGCACACTTTCTACCAGTCTTTGTTCCACCGGTGGGCAAAAACAGTGYGGTGTCTGCTTTTAAACTTTTCCAGACGCTACCAGGGGCTTTTATTTTGAAAACTTGGGTGTCAGACGACTTCCTCCGGTTCTTACCTTTGGTTTGACACCCTTACAAAAAATAAGAAAAATGTCAAAAGGCTTTTAAGGAATTTCAGGGGTGACTAAGGGGTTAAATGTAATAAAACTGCCATTTTAGAATGTTTGTGTATATAAATGTTTGGTGCATTTGTCCATCAGTTTTGTTTATCTTGACTTTTTGGTTCAGGTTTTATTCCCAGAAGCTTCAGTTTCTGTTAGGAGAATTTGTTTATCCTCAGACTCCTTTAGTTTGTTTTATTTTGTCTAATCATTAGACATGGAGTGGGTTCCATTGGACTCCAATGGAACCCACTCCATTGACATTTCCTATCACCACAGGTGTGTAGTAACTAGTTACATTTACTTGGATAACTTTTTGGAAAGAAATTAGRAGTAGTTTTACTGCACTGTACTTGAGTAAAGCTTCTGAATACTCTAACATAAACTTAATTCACACCTCTAAACCTAACTATGGTAGTAGAGCGCAGTAGAGCCGCCAAAAAGTGAGGACTGGGAAAATGTCCTCTCTTCCCACTTCACTTTTTGGTTAAAAACACACAATTGTTTCTTCTGCTGGAATTTGTTATTTTATAATTATTTGTATCAATTTTCTTCATTTTRATCCTTCAAAACATCAGAATCTGTGCATGAATTTCCATTTTAAAATATTAAAGTCGCCTTTTTACCAACTATTTTTTTACTCTTAAGTACAACGTTTGGGTTCTCTGTTGTCCAGAGCTGAAAACAAAATATCTGCTCTTTCTGCCATCTTGTATCTTTGGAACCAGTCTGCTTATTCAGGATGTGAGACTTTTTCCATCTGTAAAAAAATCCTGCCTACAGCCTGGATCACAYACAGGCTGTCAGTCAGCAATGTTTAACTTCAAACTACAACATTTTGCAGAAATGACACATTTTCAAATAACTTGAATAAATCTGARCCTTGTGTTTGAGTTTTGACTTTAACTCTCCTGCTGCTGATCTATGTGAATCTTGTCACGATTTCTGTCGCTRTTTAAAACTTACACGAAAAAACCAACACGAAGACCACCTTGTGTGATAAAACCTCAGGTCTTCTGTGTCCTCGAAATAGAACTGAGTCCATTTATTATGTCCTCTCAGTTCACATCTGCAAAAAAAGAAAACCCTTCAGGGTTTTTATTTCTGGCAGAAAACCTGCGACGACCGGATGCAGCACTTTCTGCTTTTCCATAAWACAGAACAGCCAGAGGACAACGTTTAGCTTATAAAGCACATATCAGATCAGTGCTTATTTCAGCAAAGAAAATAAAAGCTCAGCGATTTCTGCTACAGTAAAGCTGTTTTTATTAAACAAGGAAACAAATCAAATCTTTTCTTCTGGAGCAGCTAATTCCATTCTGGTTGGAGATGAAATTTCTGTGAGAATTTGGTGCAAGCAGCTGAAGCACTCACAGGTAGTAACTTAAACAGAGCTATAAGCACTTTTATGAGTCTGCTCCCTGATGAGTCCTGCTGGTTCTATTACAGGCGGTTCCACGTGGCTGAACTCTCAGCTCGTGCCAAACGATGCTGCTGCCGCTGTTCCCTGCTAATAAACACGGACCTGATCCCGGAGAAAACCCCGAGGACTTGGCATTCAGCCCAGGACTTAAGCTCCTCTTTCCTGGATGACTTCTAATTCAATAGACTTGACTTCATCCATGACATCCCAACAGTGCAGATATTACTCTCAGTACTCCTTTTTTTTGAAAAAACKTAACTTTATTGTTCACACGGTGAACCGAGTGGAATCAGGAGAAAAGATTACGGTCTAAAACTAAAGAAAAATTTCACCGTTCAGTCATATTCATCTCTTTTCAGTAATCAGAGGTTATTACATTTTATATGAAGGTTTAAAAGAAAAGTCTCTTTATTTTCTGCAGCTGCTCATCTTTAAGAGCAAGAAAACATTCACTGACTCCTCTGTTCACCAAGAAACAGACGATCCTTCAACTGTTTTCATTTATGTTGATGGGTTTGTATGGTGATTGCGAGGGCCAAAATTAAGATAGTGTTTGCTACATCCTTGTAGCAGGAGGCTAATCTATTCCTAAACCAGCTATTGATCTGATTATTGATTGGCCGGCTTTGGCAACTGAGAGGCCGGCGCTGTCAAATGAGAAGGAGACTATTCATTTGCATTGGCACTAGAGAGGCTGGCACTAACCACTAGTATGGATAAGCTGGCGTTAGCATTGTTGAAGCTAGCACTAACGACTGGATAAGCTGGCATTAGCATTAGAGAGGCTAGTGACCATATATATCAAAGGCAAAATTATGAAATATTGAATTATGAGAAATATCTGACATTACAAATTATAATTCAATATAGAGTAGCCTAATTTGATACCCTGTCAAAAACTGTAAAAAGCCCCAACTTGATAATTCTGCCGTCGACCAATAATGCAGCTGTCTGCTTCACAGTAATATGTTTATGTTTAATATTCATGCTTGACATCATGTTGAACAGTAAAATCTGTCTAAGGAACACCTGTCAGTGCATGTCGCTTACAGGTTTTATATGTCAACCATTTTTGTTGAGAAAATTTTCTTTATTCAAAATGTTTGTGTCTAATAAAGTAGTTGAGCAGCCAAGGTGTGCTAGTCATTAGCCTCTCCGATGCTAACGCCATCTTATCCATGCTAGTTGCTAGCCCCTCCTATGCTAACCCAAATGAATAGTCTCTTTCTCATTTAGCAGTGCCGGCCTTTAGCGATGCCGGCCTATCATTAATCAGATCAATAGCTGGTTTGGGAATAGGCAGCTCTCCTGCTACAAGGATGCAGCAGCTGGTTGCACAATATTCTTAATTTTGGCCCTCATACCGCTCCATAGGTTTGTGTCTGTTAAACACAGACAAACACTGTGAGCAAAGTTCAGGTGTAGGTTCAGATCTTCACCATTGTTGGTAATGACTGGTCTCCATGTTTTTCAACAGTTTCTAATAAAAACTGACTCAAATATTCTGCATCAGGTTAGATTTAAATGTTCTGTTTGTGTTCAAGACAAAAACCATTTGTCTTGTATAGGTGTCCAGGTATAGACCCATTCACAGGCTTTGTGCAAATTAAATAATTTAAATGAAACSTAACACTTCCAAAAATGTGTCCAACAGCCTCTATTAGTGGCTGTGAAATTGAAATTAAAGCATTTAACGTGTCTGACGTGTAGGCTACAGTTTTTCTGCTTCTAAAATGAATTTTTGCTCCGTTTAAATACCTCCAGGATGAGTTCTTGTCAGGGTTTTCCAGGCATGTATAATTAGAGGAATTGGTTGTGTGATTAAATGTGCCATCTGGCCTGAGAACACCCCCTGCTTCTCTCTGGAGGTTCGAAGGTTGGAGATCGAGCTGCCTGATTCATTTTCCTCCCATATTTAACTTCAGACCTTCAGCTCAGGTTTGATGTTATCTCAGAATATTTAAGCTTTTAATCTTCTCCTTAAAACAAATGAAATGCTGTTATAAGAAAGGTGGATGAGATATTATCTGTTGTATTTACAGACCTTTTTAAAATGAAAACCACTCGGTGTTCTCCCCTCCACAGTTCAGCCATTGGGCCCAGTAAACAGGAGGACGAGGACTACGAGGATGTCCCCATTAATAAAACCTGGGTCTTATCCCCGAAGGTCTACGAGAGCGACGTGACTTTGATCTTGAACAAACTGCTGCAGGGCTACGACAACAAACTGCGGCCTGACATCGGAGGTAAGTGATCCCTGGAAGATGGAAGAACATGTTCCTTTAAAAAAAAACAGATTCTAAGTTATGACCTGACTGGAGTCAGCAAAGCTAACTAGGACTGTTCAGTCCTGGTCCATGAGGGCCACTATACTGYATGTTGTAGAACAGGGCCATTCAACTGGCGGCCCCGCAGGCCACATCTGGCCAGAAAGTGACCAAGATGTGGCCCGCCATTTGGTTCATTCACCTCTTAAGCCCAACTCCCCGATTTTCTGCTTTAATTACTACAAGTTATTTTAGTTAAACATGGAGATATTTTGGTATCTACAGAAACGTCAGAATCTTGGCTACAAGCTGGTAAAAACATTTCTAAGCACACTCAAGACAGATAAAACTAGCAGTTGAAGATAAAACTATGAAAGTGAAAATAAACCGGGCCCTTTGATAAGGGCTGTCAGGTCCTTGTACGACCGGTGTCAGAGTCTGGTYCGCATTGCCGGCAGTAAGTCGGGCYCGTTTCCGGTGAGRGTTGGACTCCGCCRAGGCTGCCCTTTGTCACCGATTCTGTTCATTACTTTCATGGACAGAATTTCTAGGCGCAGCCGAGGTGTTGAGGGGATCAGTTTTGGTGGCCTTAGGATCGCATCTCTGCTTTTTGCRGATGATGTGGTCCTGTTGGCTTCATCGGAACGAGATCTGCAGCTCTCGCTGGAGCGGTTCACGGCCAAGTGCGAAGCGGCCAGGATGAGGCTCAGTGCCTCCAAATCCGAGGCCATGGTCTTGAGCCGGAAAAGGGTAGAGTGCCTTCTCCAGGTCAGGGGAGTCACCCTGCCTCAAGTGGAGGAGTTTAAGTATCTGGGGATCTTGTTCAGGAATGGGGGAAGAAGGGAGCAGGAGATCGACAGGCAGATTGGTGCAGCGTCTGCTGTAAAGCGGGCGCTGTACCGGTCCATCGTGGTGAAGAGAGAGCTGAGTCARAAAGCGAAGCTCTCGATTTACCGGTCGATCTATGTCCCTACCCTCMTCTATGGTCATGAGCTTTGGGTCATGACCGAAAGAACGAGGTCYCGGATACAAGCGGCCGAAATGGGCTTCCTCTGCAGGGTGGCTGGGCTCTCCCTTAGAGATAKKGTGAGAAGCTCGGTCATCCAGGAGGGACTCAGAGTAGAGCCGTTGCTCCTCCACGTCGAAAGGAGCCAGTTGAGGTGGCTCGGGCATCTGGTAAGGATGCCTCCTGGACGCCTCCCTGGTAAGGTGTTCCGGGCACGTCCCACCAGGAGGAGGCCCCGAGGAAGACCCAGGACACGCTGGAGGGACTATGTCTCTCAGCTGGCCTGGGAATGCCTTGGAGTTCCCCCGGAGGAGCTGGAAGAAGTGGCTGGGGAGAGGGAGGTCTGGGCCTCCCTTCTGAAGCTACTGCCCCCKCGACCCGACTTCGGATAGGCGGAAGAAAATGGATGGATGGATAGATGGATGGATGGATTACGACATTTATTACATAGGATTCTATATGTTATATCCATGATTAAATGCAGCAAAATAAACAATTTCAAAGGTAACAGATCTTTGTAATGCTTGGTTTATTTACATAATGACTTTAATTGCTGGATGTTCGGCCCCTCAGCTGTTGACCTGCAGTAACTCTGGCCTCTAGAGTAATTTTGTTGAACAGCCCTGTTTTAGAAAATTTAGAGGTTTCTCTGCTCCAGCACACCTGACTGAGTGGAAAAGCGATTAACAGGTTTCTGTCATGTTTCAGTGCGGCCAACTGTGATTGAAACAGCTGTTTACGTCAACAGCATCGGACCAGTGGACCCTATCAACATGGTGAGGCTTCTTCCTCCAGTTTTTACTTTTGCCGTTTTTAAAAAAGACAACGGGATTTCACCTCATTTTTCAACCTCCATGCAATAAGTCGAGACAACAGGATTTCACCTCATTTTTCAACCTCCACGCAAAGAGTCGAGCTGTAAAATGCAGATATCGTAAAATGCACAAAAACAATACAACGGAACAACCAATTCATCACATATTGACGCTTGGTCAGGTACCATCTGCATCCAGTCTTTGATGCGTCGGGTACCCCCCTCACATCAGTTATTAATGAGATGAGATGGAGGARGAGGAGGAGCACGCTGTCATATATTTGAAAAGGAAATGCACAACAACTAACTGTCCCAGACCCTAAATTGAACTTCTATTAGCCCTATACATCCTATCCCTGACCTCACTTTCTAAAATTAACCATTAATCCTGATCCCTCATATTAACCACAGACCCCGCAACCCAAAGACCCCTATATGGCGCAACCCAGAAAAGCCGCAGGTGTGAATAATTGACACGAGGGGGGTTACCCGACATGGCAAAACTGGACGCAGACGGTACCTGACCAAGCGTCCAATTTGGTCACGAGTCGGGAGTGAGTACATGTTAGATGGAATGCAATATATTCCAACAATCCGATCAAATTCTTGCAGGAGTACACCATCGACATCTTCTTCGCCCAGACGTGGTACGACAGCCGCCTGAAGTTCAACAGCACCATGAAGCTGCTCATGCTCAACAGCAACATGGTGGGAAAAATCTGGATTCCTGACACCTTCTTCAGGAATTCTCGGAAATCCGACGCCCACTGGATCACGACTCCCAACCGGCTCCTGAGGCTGTGGAGCAATGGAAGAGTCATGTACACCCTGAGGTAGGATATTCTGAAAGTCTATTTGTTTGTTTTTCAGTTTAACCTGCAGATATTTGTGTTTTTGTGCAGCACCAGTCTGCGCCTCCTGATTATCTGAGAAACCACTTCGATAACAAGAACTCAGAGCCCTAATCTTTCTGTCACAATTCTGTTTTTGTCAGGTTGACTATTAATGCGGAGTGTTACCTTAAGCTGCATAACTTTCCAATGGATGAGCACTCGTGTCCACTGGAGTTCTCAAGCTGTAGGTGGTCCAAAGTAACCGTACCCCCTCCTCTCATTTTAGAACCTGCCATCTTGACTTCTGCTTCCRTGGCTTGTTCAGAAAGAAGTTCTGGCACATTTTGTTCAGCCTGTGTTGTCAAAACGGCCCATCTGCTTGAAGCTGTATCAGTCTATCATCTGCTCCAGCAGCAGAAAGAGGAGGTCACATGTACCATTTTCTCTCTGACAGACTTGATGAATTGTGCACTCTTTCAGTCTGATTCATGTTGTCTGTGTCATCCTTCATTTGCCTCCCGCATTGTGCTTTTTACTTCTCATGTCTGATCATGATCCTAATCTTCCACCTGCCAGCGGAAAATACAAAAAAACAAAAAACATTTCATGAAGCCGAGGAGAAATGTCAGGAATGCAGTCACGGTAAATGTCATCAAATGAGCACAACATCCTAATTTTCATTTAGCCTTAGGAGGTATTGTCAGAATTTACTGAGTTTGCAAATATGAAGTTGCTTGAAATGAAACCAGAGCTCTGCAAACCCAGTGTCTGAAATTTAGTTAAATTAGGAAACACGTTTTATACATGTTCATTCGCGTCACATTGCAGAAACGTTTAGCTCATTTGAGGAGATTTTCCTAAGACTGAGCAGCTCCGTGACATCTTGAATGCTCCCCTTTGCCTTGCTGTGGTGCAGTGTGTTCTCCATGATCCACAATCAGTCCTAAACTGTGTAAAATAAATGAAGGCAGCCGCTGTGGTAGCATTTACTTTTAAAGCTTTCAGGTCTTTAAAGCCATGTCTACAAAYCTTAACCACTTTATGACCGAGACAGAAAATGTTTGTCAAGTTAGTACCTCACAAATCTCTGACTCCTTTGGTTTTACTCAGAGGCTTTGTGGCTGCTTCMATAGTTTTACACAGTTTATGTGAAAGTTACATCGAACGACAGACTTTTGGCATTTAGGCGCTGATCTCAGATGTCTCCTGTGCACGTTGGGCTGTTCTGCAGATGGGTACCCRAGGAATGAGATCATGTATCGATGGCAGAGACGGGCGGTGGAGGTGGCCGACCAGCGCTACTGGAGACTCTACCAGTTTGCTTTTGTGGGAATGAGGAACACGTCTGACGTGGCGCACACTCAGTCTGGTTAGCGAGAGCACAGTTTCTTGTTYATTCAGTGATTTAGAAATGTTTTCACTTCATTTGATCTGAAAGCATTTAACTTTCAGGGGAGTATGTCATCCTGACGATATTTTTYGACCTGAGTCGGAGGATGGGCTACTTCACCATCCAGACCTACATCCCCTGCAGCATGATCGTAGTCCTGTCCTGGGTCTCCTTCTGGATCAACAAGGATGCCGTCCCAGCCCGAACATCTCTAGGTGTGATATTAGATTTTTTTATGCATAAGTTGTTTTATAAGTGTCTTCTAACTCGGGGGTTCACAWACCTTTCCATGGCCTCTCAAACAGCATTAGCTTCTGGCCAAGGAATCCCCTTGCAAACCCACGAACAATGCTGCAATATAAGTCAAGGTGGTTCTCTGTCACGAYAGGTGATCTTTCCTCTTAGATCCTTCTGACCTGTGGCGTACCGCAGGGATCCATTCTGGGGCCTGTCTCAGTTCACATGCTGCCCTTATGGTCTATTATTGCACGCCACAATTTGTCTTTTCATTTATATGCAGATGACCTGCGAATCTATCTGCCGGCCACTCCTAGTTCCTCACTCAGTGTAAACTCAGCTGTCAGCTACTCAAACGACATTAAGCACTGGCTGTTCTAAATTTTCTCCACTTAAATAATGACAAAACCGAATGGATTTTGTTTGATGCTTCCAGTAAATCATGTAACATCTCTCCCAGTYTAGGTCCTTTGCTCCCCCAGTTCAACCAGGTGGTAAAAAAATCTAGGAGACTGCAACACAGAGTTAGATAAACAGATTCTGTTGTGAAAACAAGCTCCTGCTTTCTAAAGTAAAGGCACTCATTAGCTGTAGTGATCTAGGCCATCCATGCCTTTGTGAGGTCTGGGCTTGATTATTGTMATGCTTTWTGTRTTGGAATTAATCCGTCTTCCGTGTCTCATTTACAGTTTGTACAAAAGTCTGCCGCTTGCTTATTAACTAACACATATAAATACAGTATACTGTCCACCATTCAATATTACTGTATTGTTCAAATATTTTGTTGAACTAGTTTAGCATAAGCTTTTTATTAACCAACATGATTCAAACTCTGCATTATATTCTCACTGAAAAACCAACATTTCAACAAAGTGTAAGATTACAGAACAAAATAAATCAAACCTTTCTTAAGCTCTCATATCAGTCATATTAGTTATTATATTCATTAATACATTCAGTATATTATTTTAAATTATATTTTAAAATAAAGATTCTAAAACAGATTCAATTTTATGGCAGTAATTTAAAACATTTATAATAATTCTTTTTTCTTATCTTCCCTCCAGCTTTCTGTGGGCCCCCTAGTGCAGAGGTTCTCAAACTGGGGTCTCTGGGCCCCCAGGGGTCCGTGAGAGGTATCTTGGGGG